GTGATTTACAAACTAATGCAATGTTGCCAATAATTACATCAATTATTTTAATGTAAAAAAAATGTATTTTTATCTCTATTTTATACAAGCTGATAGAAAAGACACACAATAGAATTCGCTAAATAATTTAAATCAACTTGTAAAACGACAGGAAATAGTGCAAAGTATTTCGTTTTTTAATCGTCAATGTCACTTGTCACATTTATTAGTACGACATATGACCAGATGTCAACTGTCAAAGTTATTATTTATTATTGCCACTTTTGGCGTCACTATGTCACATGTCATTCAATGATAGATGTCACTCGATATCGTTAGAATTCACCTTAAAGTGTCTGTTATTCTTGACCTATTTCAGTATAAATGACTAATGACAATTTGCTCTGGAGGGCAAACATTAATTTATAACCAAAAAAAATAATGACATTATTTTGGCATTTTTCGCTTTAAATTTGACAACAAAATGATTGGTTGCCCTCCAGCGTGACGTCATACCAAAATGGTCACTTATTCGTTTAGTCGAATTGACGTCATTCGTTAGTTATAATTTAGACAGATGAACGATATGTCAAATGTCATTTTGTCATCTACTGCAACTGTCAAAGTTATAATTTCAATCTGGAAATCAATCGCCTACTTTTTAATATTGGTGACCACATGGACGATTGGTTAGATATAGATAAAATGTTGTACGTTACCTTAAAATATTACTTCTCCTGTATTACCGACCCAATATTGTCAGTCCTTTTAGCAGTGCAAAAGTATTACAGAGTTCTGTATTACCGACCCCAATGTTATTCAAAGGCCTGCTTAATTAAACAAGCGACGTTGCCGCATGATAGAAATAATCTCGAAAGATTTGAAAATATCATCATTTTAAATAGGATTTTGGTCCCAAAACTCTCACTGGCAATTGACGTTTGTTTAATCATTCCGCCTACAATATCGCTATCTCACTTGTTTGAGTTCACTGGCCAATCGAATAAAATGAAATGTCGTACGTCATGTGACAACAAGAGCCGGGAATAATCAAAATTTGCAAGTTTTGAATAAAATTTTGTACGCAACCTGTAATACCGACATCCATCCAAAGCCTACTTGATTCAATCATTGTTGACAATATCAACAACTATTTTTTTTTTGACAGTTGACAGGACTTAATGTGTCACTTTTCGGTAATTTATTGGTAAAGTTTGTCAACCGGTTGAATTTGTCATTTGTTAACTAATGACATAAATAAAACGGTTGACAAATGAATCAATATCATATTGTTTTTGATTGGTAGAATTAGTGCAAAAGAAAATCTTGTTTCTTTTTAGCAGGATGAGAAAAAGAAATGGAAATACACTCGGTGCGCAAAAAAAATATATCTACCAATCGGAAATGGTAGTATACGTTGACAATTGACAAATGACGTTTCGCATTCGTATATTTCGCCTATACTACCGGACAATAAATTTCCCGCTTCAAGTAATAGAATAAATGACATCTGACACATGGTTCGTCTCTGTCAAACAAATAATTGTGACCAACCAATGTCGTCATCAATTGACTGTGTTATCGAACGAGATTTGACACATCTGGAATCTATGACGTCATCAAATTACGTGTCAAATTCAAGCAACGACATCGAAACAAAAAATAAGTAGACGATTAATTTCAAAATTGACATTAATAGTAGTTGCAGCGGGTGACAGATGACATTTGACGTCCAAAATAATAAACAAATAACGACCAATCAAAAACATACTTTTGACACATTAAATGTTAATTATGTGTCAACGTCAAATTTGAGTCTTGATAGTTAAAAATATAATAAATTAACAATGACGTCGAATAATTAACACAGTAAGAAATGTCAATCAGTTAAGGCCTCAAATCGTGTTTCATCTCTGTCTGTTTGTATGCAACAAACAAGGACAAACGTACTTTTTTTTTTCTGGAAATTCATAGACTATTTTCAAGTGCCTATAAAATCGACTAAAAAAATTATTTTTAAATATTACATAAAATTGCTGAAAATGACGTTATTTTAATTCAATATGGCGGCGTGGAAATAACACACCACGTTTACATTCAAATTGCAATCGATTTGAATTGAATGTAAAAGCACTAGTTTGTTATGCCCACGTCGCCATCTTGAATTATCAGCTTAATTGAAAACTATAAAATTCAAGAGCCAGGAATAGGAAAAAAAAATTGAATTTCCCGCTTCGAATAATAATATGACAAATGACGTTTGACTCTGTCAAGCTTGAGCAAAAATACAAATATTGGGTAAATAATTATTGTGACATATTACTTTGGCAGTTGGCAGTTGTGTCATCAAATAACTTTTTTTTTGTTTTTTATCTCCAGTATATGACGTCACCAATTACTTTTCAAGTTTAAATTTTTCCATTGATACGTCAAAAATATAATAAACAAACAATGACAAATCGAAACAAATATTAGACCATCAATCAAGATTGACATTTGTAATGAATGACAAATGACGTATGACATAAACTAATAAAAGTACCATCGAATTTGACGCTGGCAATGCCGAACGTCTTTTTTGACATATAGTTAAAAAAAAATTGGTACTTCTTACGAATTCTTCGAGGCTAAATCTATATGTCCATGTAGGTTTTTTTTTAAATTTTGACAGCTGTCAATCTCAAAAAAAAAATTCTTTTGTTTTTTCCAAAAAACAAAGGTTTAGAGTGAGATTTATGTAGCAACAGTTGGTACAAAAAAATCCAATTTCCTGTCGGGTTTGGAATTCGAATTTTTCAATTTTCCCGGCTCCTGATTGGTTTGGGGATTCGAATTTTGTCTATTCTCTGATTAGCTTTAAAATAATCTATATCAGTTAACAATGAACGGATTCGACCAATAGAATTATAGACTGAGTCCCGTAATTAAAATAACTCTGGCCCTTCGGGCTCGTGTATAACTCCGGCCCTTCGGGCCAGGTTCAATTTTTTGGGGGAGGTTTAGCCTCCCCTGCCTCCTATGACGAGCCGCCACTGAGATCCTCTATCATTAAACAACATATATACAGGACTAGTAAAGTCACATTTGGATTATGGCGCCTTTTTACTAAACATCACTAAAAAAAACCAAACCAAACTAAAAAGCATTCAATATCAAGCCCTCAGAGTTGTGCTAGGATGCACCAAGTCTACACCCACAAACGTATTACTCGCAGAAGCAAATCAAGTCCAGTTAGAGTACAGACAACAGTGGCTCGGCGTAAAATTCCTGTCCAAAATTGTTAATTTTCATGACCACCCGATCATCCCGCTGCTGAAGGCAACAAAAATCCACTACATGGCGAATGCCAACTACTGGAGAAGAAAGGATATACCAATCTTAGTGCAATCCCTAAACCACTTAATCCCATATATCAATAAAATGGAGAAAACCGACAAACTCCCTTGTTATAAATTTCTACACAATACACAACTCGAAGAAATAAGTACAGTTAATTTGAAACTGAAAAACACAATCAACACACAAAAAACCTTTTCATGGCCAATATAGAAGCATACTCCAAAGAATTCACAATTATATATACGGACGGATCCAGGAAAGACAGTAAAACAGGATTCGGCATATACTGCCCCCAACACAATTATAAATTCAGCGCCAGATTACCTGACGAGATAGATATATGCTCGACAGAAATGGTAGCAATCCAGGAAGCTGTAACTTATATAATCCGGAAAAGAATCAAAAAGGCAATCATCCTAACTGACTCCAAAAGTGCCATCGAAAAACTCCAGCAACAATTCTTGAACCCAGACGCAGACATCACGACCTTAAAGACTAAAGCACTCATCATTACAACATCACAATCAAACATCGACATAAAACTGGCATGGATACCGGGACATTCAAACATTGCAGGAAACGAGACAGCGGACAAACTGGCAAACATCGGCAGAATGTTGAACATTCCATTGAACAGAAATCAAGTGACCACCTTGATAAAGAAAAAAATACAAAAAGAACATAACCAAGCATGGAAGGAAACATTAAAAACAAAGGGCAAATGGTATGCGCAAATCCAAGACGAATTCCCTAAAACATCATGGTTCAAAAAATATCCATACATAGACAGAAGACACATAACCACCATCGTGAGAATGCGATCAGGACATTGCCTAACAGAGGAACACCTCCACAAGATAGGAATCAAAGATTCCCCCTACTGTGAATGCGGTCAAACTGAGAACCTAAATCACTTATTCTTGGAATGCCCTATCAATAAAATACCCAATCTAGACATCTACAATATGGCAATTAACAATAACATCTGTGCTCCCCTATCAATGGCAAACATTCTAAAGAACTTGAACGCCTCGTTAATCCAAGGAATAATCCGATACCTGAAACAGAACAAAATTGACCTTTAAAATCTAAACACTCATTTCACATGCAATAACAAATCATAAACAGAATAAATTTCATACTCACAAATCCCAAAGTCCCCAATAATAAGTCCAATAACTGTGTTGTTAACCCCTTTGTAGTGATTGTCTAAACTAACCACCGCTCACCAGACAAGAAGAAAGAAGGAAAAAGAAGAGCAAAAAAAGAAAAAAAAAAAAAAAACACAGAGTAGAAAAGAAGTAAAGCAGTTCACAGCACTAATTGGATAGACACGAAACAGAAGCACACTCATACAGAAAAGTTAAGAGAAAAATTTATAAAGTCAGAGTCCGGAAACATGGCCAAGAACCAGACGGCTTTCCGGACCAACCCAAATGCGCTGGCTAAATTGCCCTTATAGGAGCAGAAGCCATAACCAAGAAAGAAGAAGAAGAATCTCAAAACAAAATTTGAATTATCAGAGCCCTAGTAAACTTTTCTATACAATACAATGACCGTAATTCTCTTATTCATTTCTACTTTTCTCAGTTTTTTGGCAAATCAATCATATGTACTAAGTAACCTGGTAATACTTGTTTATATTTCTAGAAAAATACTCATTGATTATTGGCTTATTTCAGCTTTTGAAGTGGTTCAACCAACCATCCAGCGACCAAAAACAGCTCCTCAACCAAAAACAACAACTAGAAGCTGACCAGAAACAATACAACATGATGGACGATTTTGCCAAATATTCAAAGATCCAGCGCAAAATTAACGCAGTTGATCAGCAACTTAAAGAAACTAGAGAGCAAAGAAACACAATTTCCTTACAAATGTTGGCCAAATATGGACCTCAAGCCCTTTGCACACTATTGCTGTTATTGTTAACAATATATTACAGACGTACTCATTTATTTAAACTACCAGATTATATAGATTTAGCTCCATTTAACTATATTATTTCATTTCCGAATGAGAAAAATTATGTATCTTTTCATTTTTGGATTATGAGTTGTAATGTTGTAGCAAGAACAATAAAATTGCATTAATAAATAATAAATTTATTTATTTTTAAATGAAAAAAATAACATTCTATTTTTGTTAAAAAATAACTTATAATTCAATGCTTATGATGTTGCAATGTTTCAGCATGTTGCTTCAAAAGCATCTTTAAAGCAATAACATTCTCAACATCGCTTGCTTGTGGCTTGTAGGTTGAAAAAGGTACAGCCAACGTGCGACTTCTATTTTCTTGACAATATAAACAGTTCATGTGCACTTTGGGTCTTTGTTGTGGAAACTTGCCACCCAACTGAACCGTAACCAAACAAGCATAATTTTCAAAAGCCTTATCTTCATAAATAAAGGCAACTTTATAAAATTTTGTAGCATCATATTCAGCAACATTATTTGAAAAAGTATCGACAATGTTTAAAACAAACATACTCCTGGATTTGTAACGTCTGCAAATTTGTTTTATTTGCAATTCAATAAGGTTTTGTATGGCATTTGCATAAGTACAAAGAGTGTCATCTTTTGTAAATTTCGGTAAATCGAGTCTTCCTAAAACTTGCTCAACCCTTGGCGATAGTGTCAAAGCTATTTTGGTTAATGAATTGTCAAGTTTCTTCATTTGAATGTGCAAATGCACAAAATCATCGCCGGGATTTATAAAATTGTCAGGGTCTTCTTGACAATATTCAGGCAACTTGGACAAATCAACTGGCAAATTAACCAAAAAATTAACCAAATTATATTCTTCTTTATTATTTTTGTTTGCAATTGTTTCAACGTGCACTTCAAGCAAACCAAACTTTTTAGTCAACTCTTCAAAAGCGTTTTTAATATTTGCAAACTTGTTGTTTTTAATCAACTTATCCAAGTGGGTTTTTTTGTAGAGGCACAAAAACTCATTTACAATATTCGTAAGCGAATAATGATTAGTTAAGTCCCATTTGTCCCAGCTAGGAATCACTTTAGCAATGTATTCGATGTCGGGATTGGGCAAAAACGAGTCGTCGTTGAAATCAAAGTCTGGCACTTCGCCCAAGTCTTCGGGATCGAAAATCAGGTCCCAGTTGAGAATGCGGCCAGCGTAAGGGATTTCTAGTAGCAAGTGGTAGGGTTTGTAGTTGTATCTCGTTTCTATGTACTTGTTGATTAGGAATCGGACGTCGGTGGGTTGGAATTTGGAAAATCCTTTAGGAAGTTGATTAGATTTGAAAAAATAAATAATGTTTACTTACCAGTTCTTCCGTATTTGTACAGGATGGATAAATTTTGGTTTAGATGCTCGAAATATTCGGCGTTGGTTAATGTAGACATTGTAGAATTGTTTGTTATTCAAAGAGCAGCGAAAAAATTTCTTTTTATTTTTCGAAAATAAATAAAGTGAGGTTATTGTGATGACTCATGCATTTTCTTCTTTTTTTGTTTGGTTCTTAATGTAATTATCCTTGATGTAATGTAGCTCGAAGACCACAGTGTCCTTAAGCTGTTTTCTCGCGGTAGAAGGATGCGGATTCTGTGGATTTCTACATTCAATATAAGGGAAAATCGTGTAGAAAACGATACACGGAATACGAAATATCGAATGCAGATTCAAACTGTTTGAGCTGTGATCACGACAAGTAGAATTCTACTTTCATGACGTCACTCTCAAACTATTTATTGCGTACAGTCATACAGTACCAATGAACTATAGCCAAAAACTGGAATGCGCACACATTGCCATATCTGCCAAAAAAAATGAGGCCATGAAAGACAGATGCCACAAAGGGGAATGTTGTTTTTTTCTGTTGCTCGCTGACATATGACGTTTTCGAAAATTTTGTTATATTTACCTTCACAGGTGTTGGAAGCAATTTCTGCTATTTAGGCTTCACGTTCGTCAATATGTGTGAGCATTCCAGATTTTGGTTATAGTTCATTGTACAGTACATACGATGATGACGGTTGTTTAGCAACCTGACGTCATAAGAGTAGAATTCTAGTTGTCGTGATTCCAGCTTTGCGTTAAACCAGTGACGTCATCTTGAACTTGGTTCAAAAAAGTTCAAACCGGACTGTTGACATAGGACCGTAGTTCAAACCTTCCATTTTCTCGTTTTCATAAATGATGACGTCATCTACAAATTGTTTTAAACCGTATTTCAGTGACGCACTTAGGGCGGGTATTATAAAACTGCTTTGACAGTTAACTTTTTGAATTACATGTAATTCCAAAAGTTAACTTTAAGTTAACTCTCAAAGTAGTTTTATAATACCCACCCTTAAAACACTCCTGAACCGCTCTAGAGACGTTCCAGTTCCAGTGCATTAAGGTTTCGCACAACTGAACTGTTCGTTTTTCCTCTCTCCTACCCTTTCAAGCACCTGCAATTTTATGAGTGCATCAAAAACACGTCGCTTAAAGTAAAGTGCGTTCTAGTAAAACAACAGGGTTGCGTTGAGAAGTAGCACTTTGGGTGTTAAAGTGACCCTAGAGTAACTAACTCTAAGCCGTTCATAAATTAACAGGTGCTTACTCGGAGCGTTACGTTGAAATTGTTCAGAAATCGAGAGTTGACGTGCCCAAATTACCCCACTCGGGGACTGAATTGAAAAACGCCCCGCGGTTTTTACCGGGTTTGACGTGATTCATGACCATAACATAAGAAAGTTCTCGTGTGTCAGACGCTACCCTAATACGGTACCGCTAACAATACGGTATTTCATAGTTCTCGAACACGAAGATACATTAAATCCTCTAATCCCTTATTTTGTTTACATTTTGACAGCTGAGTTGAGTGATCTAACCCAACTTTTTTTACTTGTTTTGTAACTTTTATTTATTCTGAAGATTCCTGAGCTTGATTTATTTCCCCTTGGTGTATTTTATGGAGGAATTATTAGAACTTGCTGTTTTTGCAAACATAAATGGAGCGTAAACTAGTTTTGATATAGCATAGCGTTACGGTAAGGCATCCGGTGAGTTCCGTTAGATAACGTGTTCCGCTAACGCTAATACCGTAAGAACTGTCATACTTGTCAAATAGCGAAAAGCTGGATTTATAGTGTCAGTATCAAACAGTAGCAGTAACAGTAAAATATTAAAACACGGCCGACCGTAAAGCCATTTATAGTTCACTTAACAAACTTATCAGTAAAACTTGAGAAATGGTTATTTTCATATCTGTTCTCAAGTTTTAAGTGTTATGTTACTGTTACTGATGGCGTTTCCGATTGGTAGATCTAGTGCAATTTTTTCTATTCCTGTCTATTTCTTCTACAGGTCGAATAAAAGAATGCAAATACACTCAGTGCGCACTGAATCTACCAATCGGAAACGCCATGATACTGACACTATAAATCCAGCTTTACAGTATCTGAAATTTGGACGGCACTAGAACCCTCTATTGACGATTGACATTTACCGCAACGCCCCAATACATTCAAAAATAGCGCACCTAAGGTGCTTTCCAGTGACCCATTTGAGTTACTCCTAAGCAGCTCAGGAATGCTCCACAATTACAATTTTGGGATTGTTCTAGAACGGTTCTCTCAGTTCTTGTTCTGAAAGAGGAACTGTTATGGAACTTTGTATTTACGACTTGTTCTGGGTTTTTTGGTTTCGAATCGCCCAGAACCGTTCCAAATTTCTATCCAAAATACAGCTTATATATGCAGTTGTGGAGCCGATTGCACTCAGAGCGGAAAGTGCAGAACCAATTTTGCTATCGAATCCAAAGGTGCTTTCCAGTGACCCATTTGAGTTACTCCTGAGCAGCTCAGGAGTGCTCCACAATTGCTTTGCGCGTTCCAGTGCTTAGAGTGTCGTACACTTGAACTACTCATTTCTGTTATCCTCTGCCCCCTCGTGCACCAACCTTTATTTGCTCCTGAAGTCCGAAATGGTGGGGGTTAAGACGAGAGCATTCCAGTGCTGCTTATGTCGAACTGGTCAAGAGCGTCACACTTCAGGAGCATTATATTTTAACAATTTAGGTACTAGAAAGCAGCTCTGGTTCAAAAAAATCGAATCGGACTGTTGGCATAAGACTGTAGTTAAAACCTTCCATTTTCTCGCGTTCACAGATGATGACGTCATCTACAAATTGGTTTAAACCGTATTTTAAACTACTCGCAGTGTGAGAAAACACTTCCAGTTGCTTTCCAGTGACGCACTTAAAACACTTCTGAACCGCTCTAGAGCGCCCCGAGTTATTTATAAACGTTCCAGTTCCAGTATATTAGAGTACAACAGAGCTGCGTTTAGAAATAGCACTCTGGGTGTGAGAGTGACCCTAGAGTAACTCTAAACCGTTTATTAATTAACAGGTGCTTACTCGGAGTGTTACGGTATGGTATTTTGAACCTAATAAATTTAACCAGCTTTTGCAGCCTAGAATTATCGTGGGCGGAGCATTCTGTCCTGGGTGTTTATCTGATCTGACCCTCTAGTTATTTAGTTATTATTGATTTTAATATTTTACAATGTTGGTTCTTGTATTGTTTCTTCTCTGTGTGACTTATCACTTGTTTATAGTTTTTTTTCACTTATTTATTAACTGTTAAAATTTAAAAAATATGTATGTGTATTTACTGTGACAAGCATTATAGTTTAGATGGTTTAGATTTTAGATTTTAAATTTAAGGATTAGCTTTGTCCATAATGATTATTGTATCTTTTGACAATAAAGCATGCTACTACTACTACTACTACTACTACTACTACTACTACGCTAAAATCGTACAGAAAGCGAGAATTGACGTGCCCAGACAAACAACTACTCTACCTTAACACCCGATTTCTAAATAGACTCCAGTTGTTTGGAGCACCAGAGTGTGAAGCTACGGGTGTCGAGCATCTTAAAATTCGTCACTGGAAAGCGGCTCTTGCTTGATTACGCTTTTTTGCTCGAACTTTGATTTCAGTTTCATTAGCACTAACTCTGTTCTGTTTGCACTGCTCTAATTGTTAGTTTTTAAAGATTTTTAGTAATTCTTCTGCACTTACTCGATTTAAATTACTCCAAGCATTCCATCTCCATTAATTGACCTTTTCAATTTAGAAGCCTCTCTGGCGTCAGACTGTCAGATGCCAAAAGAGTATGAAAAGTATGAAAACAATGATTGACAGCTATTGACAATGGTTTGTTGACAAGAGTTTTATACGTGTGAGACTGGAAACTATTATTTCCTCAGTTTTTTCAAAGTTTTTTCCTAAAAATGGTGATTGTGTGTAGTGTGCCTATTCGTGAAAATAATTCCTATTCACCGGCGGACGTGTATCTTTCCATAAGTTTTCATCAAATCCTACATTTGTCAAAATTTGGATACACAAAATCAGAACTGATACTCGCAAAAGTAAGGGAAATCCACGATCCATCAAGTATACAAAGATATCCACGTTCAAGTTTAGTTTGCGGAAGCTGTTTGCTTCCCACATTTTCTTTCCAATTTCAAATTTCACCATTCTATGTCGGTCATTGTCATTCTCCATTCACTGAACAAAGATACCTAACTCATCGGTGGAGTTACCTTACCGATTAGAATAAAAACCAGGGAATTGCTAAACATCCTATACACTTGACATTGACGAGCAAGCAAATGTTGGCGGGAATCTGAATGTTTTCATACTTTATCGTCCATCTCTTTTAATTGAAAACGTCAATTCTAATCGAACTACTTTTATTGTGCGAATTACTCTAAGGGTGGGTTCCGTTGCCAACCTTGGTTACGGTCACACGTTCCGTAATGTCTGGTTTCTGAAAAACCGGTCCATACGGAACGCGGTTGGTTATGTCAAACATGTCACCAAAGTAAAGCACGATTTTATCTCAGGAACTATAAGTGCCAAGGAGCTGAAATTTTTAGCTTTTATAAAATGCACTAAAAATTAAAAAATAATTTTCCATCAGCATTCTGATATTATCATAATAATAAAAGCGATGGCCGCAAATCAAAGCATAAGTTAATCTAAATTTGTGATCTAAACACTTAAAGAATATTCAACATAACAGGTCATCAAAGATATGTTTGATGTACCGCAAAGTTATGCCACTGCCGTACCTAGGTCAGAGAAATGCTGGGGTATCTTGGGTCGGGTTGGGTGGGTTTGGTACCTTTGTATTTTTCTGCTAGACAGATTCTTGCAAATAGTGATATTTAATTGATGAGTCGGCCATCGCTTTTATTATTATGATAATATCAGAAT